ATTCAGTAAGCTCGCAATAACTCAACATGCACCTAGTAATTAAAAAAAAAGTCATTATAAACAGATCGTTAGATCCAGATTGCAATAAGAATGGAGGAGTTTGTTTACTCTGTGTCTAAACCCAAAGTTGCATGTCATTTTGTGCGGCTTATGCTAATATTGACCTACGTACTTCGAGACTTTCCAGTAGCTCATGCTTTTTGCCCTAAAGCACGCGGAGGTTTTCTGGTATTAAATCCGGCTATGAAAGACTGCGAAGTTTCATCAAACTTTTGTATAATCTAAAAAAGCTCATCCGGTAGACTCTTAGAACTAGTTATTTATATCCCATATATTACCAATAAATTCGCGGCCGATATGACTGCGATCGGATAAATCAAACGTATTTATAAACAAAATTTCCATACCAAGGAAAGTAACTTTTGGTTTCCAATTGCGGATATCAGTTACGAGATAGGAAAGTCGATGCGACTTTGCCACCCATTACATTAAGTCGGGAGTCGAGTATAGGACCCTATCGTAACGTTAAACGAGGTGGAAGATATATGAAGCAAGGCTGTATAAGTGTTGTAAACAAACCAAAATTTTCTAAGTATCGGAATTTAAGAAGTGATAAATTTTTACTTTGTTGAAAAGATTTATTCTTCTAAAATTACTGTGTAAGCACAATGTGATAGTTTTTATTGCATTCCTTCAATCTCTACCATCTGTTCCATTTAAAAATTGAGATATATAAATGGTAGATAGTTTAGGATTTATGTTTAAGGGCTGCAATTGAATGCAAAACGCGGTTCACGTATTTCATTTCCAAATTGGACGTAAATGTATGTATCTACTAAATGCTAAAACACTACAAAAGAGAGTAGACGAAAGAACGTAAATGTATCCGCCGCCACTGCTCCCTTTTACAAACACTTTGTTCGTTTTGATATTTTCGAAAAATCGCGTCTTTCGATCAGTTCTGCCATTTTTTATTTTCCCTTCCCAATGTGACACTAAGAAGTTTCGATTTGTAAAAGATTCATCGGATACCTATCTAAAAATCTACTCGATTATATTTGGAAGTAGCAACTTTTCCAAATTTATTTGGAGGTATTCCACTATATCCACTTTATTGTACCGGGTGCCACAGACACCATGTAGCAGGCTACAATTTTGCGTTGAATTTGTTTTCTGGATATGTACGTATTGTTGTGTTAATTACGCCATGCGGAAGTTTTATTTGGCATAACGATGAGACACCCTGTATGTGCATTTCAACTATTTTTAACGCTAAAAGTTGATTGTAATTTGAAACAGGACACTGTATTCGATCATATTAGTTAAATTCGAGGCCAATTTTGTTTTGTATCAGAATTATTAGATTTTACACATTTTATATCTCCGGTCGTAGATAAGAAATTTTGCTGTCGCGGCGTAAGCTACTTAGTTTCAAGACAAGCAAACACAGTTGCATTTTATAGTTCAACGGCGCATTAATTTGTTAAGGAAGTGGAGGCGGATGTTGAACAGAAAGGGAAACTGTTTAAATAGGAGACGTTAATCGTTGCTTGTTTGGCGGTGGGCGTTAATCATTTTATAGTTTTGTATTGTCGTCCGTCCGTCTGTCCGTCCGTCCGTGTGCGCTATAACTCTTTTTAAAAGTGGCCGATTGTGTTGAAATTTGGTGTACTGCGGGCTAAACCAACATATTTGGTTCCCTAGGTCATGTATCGAGTTCGGACTTTCGCTAAATTATTCCCTATGACTCTTATATGTGTAACAATTCAGTGGTGGTAGTGAACTTCAATGTGATCTAGATCAAAAGTTTTAGAGCAAAATGTACCCAAAATATTCTTTACACATGAATTTGGAGTTGTAAAAGCTTTCAAACGCATTATCTTGATGCGGAAAGACCACATACACCACGTGCACATTTGATAACCGCATGTGTGTGATTCAAACATATTAAATTATTTTTTATCCTATACAAGGAGAAACTTACATTTTCTCGCCTGTGTGAGGACGCGAAAGAAGACAATTGCACGCATGGAGCGAGAAAATTCAATTTTGTCGGCTAGGCGAGAAAAAAAATACGCCTTATGTACGCTAGATGGCGCGATTGTAATAAAATGTCAAAGAAGTTATTTCTTTTTAATTAAATAAGAAACATAAAATCGTCAACACTGATTTAATAATTAAATTTACCCTATGTTCACTTTATTTTACTGAATTCAAGAATTTATTTAATTACCGCGAACCTCTCTCTATATACCTATCAACGTTTCGTGAATTTGAATACTTTCCCAACATCACGTGACCAATTCAAACGTTTCAAACTTAAGTCATAATTTTCCATTTACTTTCAATAACGAGCATCTGTGTCAATACATTTAACACCAAGATGTACTTTGCACTGTAAGTAGAAAACCGCTTATCCGCAATAAGTAGCATTTTAACATACGAGACTACCCCGAAGTTAAAATGTGTCCAGTGTGACTGTAAGGAATGAATAAATCTATTTATAAAACACATTTTTTTAAAATACAAGATCATCAAGGATTTAAAGTGTGCCCATTGCGCTTTCGTCGCCAAGCATAAATCCAGTCTTAAAAGCATCTAACATTTGACAAGACATGGATACTGCGAAGGATTTAAAATGTAACCGGTGTGATTTTGTCCCTGAAAACACACATTCAATTTTAAAACACATTTGTTAATACAGAAGACCAGTAATAATTTCAAATGCGCCTGGTATTAATTACAACCCCTTAAATCCCGTTATTTTCTAAGGAAATAATCACGCGCCAGTGAAATGCCGGAAATGTCAACTCAGTTCGCACATGATCGGTATTCTCCACTTGCACCTCTGCTCTGTTGCACCGTGACTCCCTTCGGTGACTCCGCACTGTGCAATCGCAAGCGCGCTAGAATTTGAATTTGCGTTGAACTGTATTATAAGGGAAAGGGGTAAATCTACGAGTAAAAAATATACTCGTGGGCCCACTTAGATTGCACCGTTTCGTAAAATTTTTTTCGCGTAGTCAGCAGGAAACGTGGAAATAAACAAAACAAACGCGTGCACGTTGACGCGTTAAAGCAAATCCAAATTCAAGCGCTTGCGGTCGGACGTTGTTGAGGGATTAATTTTAAATGTAAGTGTATAGGATAAAAAATATTGTGTGCACCACGGCACGAAAGTTGTTTTCCGGGCCTCGGGAAGTGGCCAGCCTCGGCTGCGCCTCGCCTGGCCATATCTTCCTTCGCCCCGGAAAACAACCACTTTCCCGCCTTGGTACACAAAGTACTATTTCTGAAGTCAGATGGATTGATCAAAACATGTCAAAATCGTTATTCATGCACCAAGATCGTTGGGAAAAAACTAGGAACATTATCTCAATGCTCAAGACATTAATTTGGTGCATTTTTTACGACCACGTGGATTTTTTTTGTTGCCACCAGCACTCATGCTTCTTGTTAAAAAATATTATTTAGCAACGTGTTTTTTAGATTTTTTTCGAAAAAATTAGATGCCTTTATGATATTGCCGGCGAAAATCGAAATGTCGAAGCCAAAACAGTAAACACCACACATGTCTACGATTATTGAAGAAAATTTAATTCACTACAACCATCAACATACGTTCAAAGTGTTTCTTTGAAAATCACTTCAAGAGCCCATAGCGGGAAAACAATGCGAAATTTTTTCCTACGACCCCCCAAAACCGACCTGCAAAACTGTACCTTTAACCCCCTTCCCACCCTCCGGCGGTACCGAAATCGCGTGGGACGGAGGACCTACTTCAACCACACATTCTCCAAAAAATGGATCTACACGAATTATTTTTTCTATTTGCTGTTATTTGGCATAGAGTATATATGTGGTCGTTAATTTGAGATTGAACACAATTTCGATTGTAGTATTTCAATTTGAAGCCATTTTTTATTTAAATAATCCTTTGTATTTTGTTTACTCAATTCTGAAGAAATTACATGAAGATTAACTTTATTTTTCTGTAAAAATGTTATCTGCGCGTAATTTCTTCAGAATTGAGTAAACAAAATACAAGGGATTATTTAATTTAACTTAATTTTTAATTTTGACTTTGAACATTCTCCGATTTACTGATTTGCACGTCCTCTCCTATTGTAATATCACCGTCGGTCTACATTTTCGTCCAGTTCTTACAAAAATAATCCACATCCCTTCCAGATATTGGACCGTATGAATAAAAGGAAGCAAATGCTTATACTTGCACTGGGCGACTTAGTGCTATGACATACTATGCTGAAAACCGCATGCGGGAAACCGCATGCTGGAAAATAAAAAACCGCGCCATGTATAATTAAATGCTTATATGCCGCGACCGCAAAACGCACGTAGTATGTCTTTATGCATTTAATTATACATGGTGCGGTTTTTTATTTTCCGGCATGCGGTTTCCCGCATGCAGTTTTCAGCATAGTATGTCGTGTTAGCAGCGCGTCTAAGCAGAAGGACAGGACGCAGTAGCGCTGCTAAACCATGCTAAACAGACTAGTATGAAGGGACAGTTACGAGTATTTACTTTGAATTTTGCAAGTATAAGCATTTGCTTACTTTTATTCATACGGGCCATTGTAATGCTGTACAAAGCTAAAACAATAAATGCACCTTTTTCCTTTGATAAAGGACAGAAAGGGCATAAATTAGGAAAAAGAATAAAGTAATTAATTTATACAACGCGTGACAATTTATTTGCTTACAGTTCAATCAAGCTTAACGCATGTAATTATCGTGCAGTTGTAGGATTTCACATGTTTGAATACGAACGTGAAACCAAATGCAAATACGAACAATTTGGGGTTACAATAAAATTCGTCATCCATGCAGAACTTCAAAGCAATCATTCTGTCTAATAGTAAAGCGCAATTCTGTACTAAATCAAACAATTCAATAAATTGAATGTTAAGTTTAATTAATTTACTGAAAAATGTCAAAATTTATTCGATTGTCAGTTGAGAATGTCATATTCGCTCGTAATGGTTTTATGGTTATGTTTAACAGAAGGCAGTAAATCGTTTAAAAGGCACGTTTCTAATTCAATTCTTCCGATTACTGGCGATCCTAGTTATAACATTTCGTCATGGGTTCGCCAATTACACTTGCAGCAATGCGCGATTGTTGAAGTTGGAGAAAAGTACTGTGGGGTGGGTACATTTCTGTTATGCGAGAATTGGTATAACAAAGTGAAGGTTTAGGTGTACGTAGAATTTCGAACTGTATCTCTGCTAATGGGAACTGACGTGCAAGAGTACTTTCTGGGATTATGCGATGCAGAAACACTGCGAAAATGGAATTTTTGTTCAGCAGATTTAGCAAAAGAACGCCCGTATGAGTGTACATTCGATATAGACATAGAAAAGTCGGATAATCCCTCCAGAGTTCACCGACGCTTGTGTGATATAACGGGTTTGGCATTTCACGGCGAATTATGCAATTGCAGTCGAGAATTCGGAGGAGAAAAACTCCACCGTGTCACAGGCAATTAGGTAAATACTATAAATATGAGTTTATTTAACAATTAGTAGCTTTCCAGGTTTCCCCACGTGCTTTCTCCCACCACTACCAGAAACGTTATGTGAGCCCAGAAACGTTTGCGGAGTGGCATCGTGCAATGCTAGCACTGTAAATCACCAAATTCACACAGTAAGCTGTAATCCTAAGTGTATGGGGGGTCAACCGGTAAATCCAAGCGTTAAAGAACGAGTTTGTAAGTTCAAGTTACAGTTCTGTGAATTTCCCGGAACCACTACTGCTCAGGCCCCTAAGATTGAATCATTCTGGTCGGACTGGAGTGAAGATTATTTTGACGATGAGACAGCATCGAATTCTAAAGATTTTAGATACACACAAGCCATCTGCATTAACAAAAACAGGTACGCGCAAATTTGGCTAGAACATGTACTAACTACAGAAATTCTTAGTGGACTGGGTGCAATTGACTGTTTGGGTCCCGGAAGCAATTGGTACAAACCCACACATTTGCGTAATGATTCACTGACATTAACTGACAGTTTTCAGCTGTCCTCCCGGCACGGAAGAATGCAAATGTTTCATCTATATAGAAGACGGAATACTTAAATTGTCCAGAAGACACAAATCAAAACAGTTAAATTCGAGGGAGACAGGTAAACATGTTCATTCACTGGATCAAACTTCATCTTCGTTCTTTAGAATGGGAGTACTACAAGAATATAATGAAACAGAGACAAAATACCTACAGCCGAAACATAGGGTTGAAAAGGACGAGACTGCTGATAGGTAGAGATTACGATCTAAGAAAACGCGAAGAAGAGGAATATGATGAGGGAGACAATGATGAAGAAGATACTGATGCCGAAGATGTTGTACTTGAGGAAAGCACTGACGACATTGAAGATCGGGTCGCTACAGAGACATATGACAAAGACGAAAATAAAGATGGAATAGTAGACATACTACAGGAAAAGAATGCATTTGAAGATGCTTCAAGTTCCGCAAGGAACCAAAACATCAGTTCAAGTTGCACTCGGAGCAAGAGTATGGTGTTTATTTATGTATCCTTGTGTTTTATAACATTAGGTAATAAGATTAAAACGTTTATTTAAATATATGAATCGAAACAATTTAACAATATAGTAGATACTAGAATTACTGCTTAAGTTAAATGAGAATATAGCGTTATAACTTGTTGATAGCCAAGTTTTTAGACCCACCTAAGGGAAAGTAATCCACTGGATAACCTAACGTAGATGCGAGTTTTTGAAAGTGTGGAATCCAATATAAATTGCTAGTATGGTACTTCCAATCTTGTCCGGCGAAAAACGATGGGCAAATGACGTCTTGATCATTTCCTATATTTTTTTAAAAAGTAAAATTCCGACAGAATCTTATAAGGTGCGATCCTCGACTTTGTTAAACCGCCCAGCAACGAAAAGTTACCAGGACAGTAACATCTTTGCTAGCAAATTTCATTCCAACGTGACAAAACGGCACATAATTGGTACTCAATTTCTGCATCAAAAATAATCGTTCATGAAAAAATTGGGCAGGTTAATTTAATGCCATTACTTGTCGTCTGTGGGGCGCAAAATTAACTGGCATATAGTCGTCATAGAAAGTTTGAGCCGAATAGGTCAAGTAATGGAAAAAGCTATATACCATGCCTAAAGTCACTAGATATAGAAAGTACCGCAATCATCCGCCATTTTTGGGCAAATTTGCTGCCAACTTAAAAAAATTGACAAATAAAATCTGAATAGCTGTCATTTTTTATAACCTAACTTCATAGTACTGTCATGTTTTATAAAAATATATACAGATATCTCCAAACAGGTGGAACAATCCCTAACATTAAAGTTACTAGAATCTGGTAACTTCCGCAATTTTTGGGCAAAAATCATGCGTTCTCTCTCTAACACACGAACCCAATGGATTGCGGTACTTTCTATATTTAGTGACTTTAACCATGCCGAACGGGCGAAAACAAAGGCAGATGCCTGCGAATAAGATGTGTGTTTTCAATTCGCTTGTAAAGCACCTTCAGTTAAAATATCAGAAAAGTGATCTACAAATAAAGAAAGTTATGTCTACACATGCGCAACTTGTTCTGTGACCCGCGATTTTAATTTGCTTTTAATAGGAAGCATCTTCCGGTGAAATTTTAGAAGAATTGAACTACCAAGAAGAAATGCAAGTCCGCGCATGCTCAATCACTTTCTTGCGGTTTTTAATCTGCGGATGCGAATTTTCTTTTTCTATATCATAGAGGTTTTCGTTTGCTCAATGAAGTGGAGGTTTAGATAATAATAATAGCGTATATTTTGCCAACAGTTAAAACACCATTTACAGGGCAATTAAATTACAAAATAACGAATAGATAACTTAATAATCAAATATTATTTTACGAAAAATTTTAAAAAAATTATGGAATATTATATGGTCTTAAATGAATAGCGTCTAAGATTTCGGAAATGACGGAGTTAAAGAGATCACAACTATGAGATATTTTGTTGAAGTTGCTACACATAACATTCACTGGTGATTTTAACATAAGATTTGTTTGAGCTCTTTTGCATTGGAAAAACAATGTTGTCTGGATGATTGCCTAGGCACTAAGATGTCTATTAAAGAGAGTAAATCGGGGCAGTCCACTTTTCCGGCGAATACTTATATAAAAAAGTGTTAAACTATTAAAAAAAATAATGATTCGTTATAACGAAAGACGAATCGTTGCCGTGTGTACGGGGTATTACAGAATTTGAACTATTGGATGGTTGCATATTCAAAGGAATTCGTAACTCAAAGTTACGTATTATAGAAATGAATAGATGTCGATATTGATGCTATCAGTAAAAGAATATTATCTTTGCTCAGGAGTTGCACATTTTCCAAATAATCCTGGGGAGTATGCATTATTTCCATTAGTTTACCTGATACTCTTCATGAACAGAAATATAGTTATAATATTTGATATGCGTACTCAAAATGGATATAAACTATTCCCGTTAAATTACGACAGCTAACACAACCATACCGATTATTCAAAAACTATTTTCAAAATTTGTATTATATTATCAATCAAGGTTGTGCCTGACCATTCACCATGAACCATGATAGTCAATTGAATCAAGAGAGCTTGACATGTTTCTAAGGATGAAATGGAAATCAGCGTGTCATCCCACAAAAAAAAAGTGCATTGCGTGCCATGATCGACGAACAGGGAGATCTAAATTATAAATTATCGCGAGCGAGTTATACCATAAAATATGAACTATAGTTGCATAATTGCTAGGGATGGTAACTCACCTATTAACACGCTACCGCAATTACTTACAGTGAAACCTAAAACTGAAAAAATCAAATGTTGCGGAAAGCATTTTCTTTGAGGGTAAAAAGGATGTACTTTTTTCCCTAGACATTAAATTATACGACTACTTATACTATATAAAATGACAGGTTTAATGAAAACGTCAACTTTATGTCTGTAAGCGTTTAATCGTTGAGTGAAACTTCACTCAACGGTTGAATGCAACAATTTTCAGTCCAAAAGTATCACTTTTAAATAATAACCATCTGATACACACTAATTATGCCTTACATTAATCCGTGTTCCATCATTGCAACACGCCGCCGTTTACTACAACCAAGAGAATTTCAATTTCAATCACCATTTCTGTCATCTACACGTCACCAATTTATCACCTACATTACATTTTCCTGGAGCGACCGGCAGCGAGCATTGTTAGGTGCAAGTTCTTTGATTACCACTGAAAAAATTATCCTTGTTGCAACATTTGCACTCACTTATTTTACATAAGAAATGCAATGACATGCACAATTATTATCTACTAAGCTGTGGTATTGATTTTTGAGGTGATCTGGGTCACTTGCTTAGCGTAGTATAATGATTGAACAAATCCTAGAAGAGTGGCTGTTAACGAAATGATGCACTTGCATACGACGAAGATGACGTAATCCATCAACAATGCACTATGTGCCACATAAATTTAGAATACTACTCTAATATTTATGTTTTGTAGTTGACAGCGACAGGCAAGATGAGAATGTTACGAGCGTAGGAGAAATGTATAGAGTATTCGTATTTCCTCCCCTTTATCTGTACTGCATCACCGCCCTAAACACAAATCACGAATGTCGACAACACATTTCTGTGGGGTTTCTCAATTGTTACCATTACTTTAGATACAGAACATAGAACAAGATGGAATGCACAACGCAGCGCAAAGTACATACTAATGCTCATATGATAACAATAATACACCACACACAGAAACAATATATTTTCAAATTAACTTAATTTTTTACGTTGCGGAATACTAATTTTAAAACTTGAAGTTTAATTAGCTAAGAATCGGGGTTGCTCGACTCCCAACCAGCAGTATATGCCAATGATATTACCAAACAGTATACATCAAAGCCTTAAAGCTGGATTTTTTCCGATACTCAATGAGGATAGTTTACTCATCACTCAATCTTGCCGTGATCAATTTTGTAACGTCGAAATGTGGAAGTTTTTCAACTCCAGAGGTTTAATTAAATTAAATGATCAATCTTACATGCATACACTATGATTAAAATTCGAGAAACTTTTCGTAATGTCCCTAATTAGTATACGTTATTAGTAGGAGACACCTAGGCCATCATGGTCAACCGCGACATTATTATACAAAATAATGTTCTAAACATTCGTAATCTATAATTACTCTCCATAGGTAAGTTTATTAATTGTCAAGGCGATGATAAATAGGTAAAGAGACTGAGGATTTATTGCACAAATATAACATGGAGATGAATTACAAATAAACAATAAACAACAATATTTCGAAATCATAGACAATTATTTGACTACTTCTTTCGATATATTGGTTATTATATTCTCAAGTGAAGCGAATAAAAATAAGTAATAAACTTGCAAGTGTGATTGTTTCAATAAATATAAACAAATTCATTTCTCCTTTGTTTAAAAGTTAAAATGTGGTAATGTATTCAAACGATGAAAAATATCTGATCGTGGCAGCAAGAGTAGAAAAATAAATACAAATTTTAAAATAAAACGAAGAAACTGCTAAATGCAGTATTATCTACCTACGTCAGGAGAGGCATTTGGAAAAATAAAAAATTGTTAGATTTGCAATAACACTACCAAATGAAGAGCTAAATTCCTATTCGTTATACGCTTACCCGCATGTGCTGCAACTGGACGCGAAGACAGTCCACCTTTGTCGACTGATCAGAACCGAAAACTGGACATGAACCCATATACTGAAACAAATTTTCAAAATATTATTTAATAGTATACTATTAGCATCTAAAATTAAACATTAGAGCGATTAACTCCCTTGTAGTCCTTAAATAATATCGTTTTTCACTAAATAATTTCTAACGGAGACCTATGAGAACCTATGTACCGTTGGCGTATTAGAGCCACCACTGGAAAACATTTTTACATCGTGAAACAATGCTTTTACTGTTCAACAATGTTCGTGCAGGTTCATTTTTGCATTCTGCATCCATTGAATTCAGTTCAATTTGCTCTAATTTTGCCAATTTTTGTGTAAGCTCTGTGCCATTGCCCATTTTCAAAAAGCTAATGTACTCAATTTTAATTGAAATTACTTATTGTAAATTATATTGTCTTCAGCTATTTATAACTCAGGGTTAAGTGAATCCGAAATTTGGTTTTATTTGACATCAATGTAAATGTTATTCCTATTTTGATTTGTTTGAGATTTGCCAGTTATTAATTGTCATTTGATTGTTACTCGACTTGATTATACTCGTAGCACTCAACTAACTTTCTTCTAAAACGTAATAGGTACCTGGTAAAACTGCCTGTTCTGCAAAGGAATACGTTCAAATACTATTACGTTTTAACGCCAAAAAAACTCGATTCACGTCTTCCACTTCACAGAGCCACAACCAAAACAAATGCTTGACCAACAAAATGCGTTGTTTAACGATCGGTTCGCTTGTTTAAAATTTTTGCCTTATTACTACCTTTGTCCTCCCTTTACAAAGTAATGGGCGTCTTCGCAAAATCCAACTACACCTGTGTTCAATACGGGGATAACACGTCCTTATCTTAAAATTTAATTAGTAAACTTCTTATCTACAACCGGAGAAAAACACGAGATTAACTTTTACACATACTATGCAAATAAATTCCAGTTGTTCCTTATCTTACTAACACAAACTACCTTTTTAAAAAATAAACAAATTAAACAAAGCAATTATTTAAACAATATTAACAAGTAATCATTCTGATACAAGCAAAATCGACTTCGAAATCAAACGACATGATTGCGTTCTATCCCAAACCACATTTAACGTTCATGAAAAAATTGAAATTAGACATACAGGGTGACCCATTATTACTTCAGGTGCCGAAGCGAAGTGAAACGTCCCCCTGACGTACTTTACACAACAACACGAATCTTAGATTAAACTGAGGAACTCAACGACACAACATTTTGTAAGTGCAATTGTTTGCAAGGTATAGATGGCAATAGAATCAAAATAGTAGCTTTAGAACATACACATGTAATGTGTGCAAGGTAATTGAACTTCACGTGTAGTTATAAAAAAAAGTGCAAAGTGTGTGAATATCGCTTCTGAAAGCAGAAAGTCTTTTACAGCCCAAATTTTTTTTATTTTTGAGGATTAGTGGAAGGAAAGGGTAGCAAATAAGATGCTCCAATAAGGGTATAATTATGGGTTCAGGTACTTATCTAAATATAGACAAGATTTGCGCAATGTTATTTCTTATAAACTTTTCTTCAGTTTTCTAGATAATAAACTATAAAAAATGATCAAAGTCCTCGTGTGAGATCGAAGGGACTTCAGCGCATTTTTGTGTGGCAGATCAGTGTTTTATTAGCCAATATTGACTCCACCATCAATAAGATCTTGCCGAAAGCTACCACGTTCACTTTGTCGGTACCATTTTCTCACTTACCGTGCACTCGCAATTCGCGTTTGAAGTTTTGACTCCACCATCAGTAAGATCTCGTCGGGGGTTACCACATTCCCTTTGTCGATACACAGTTCCGACGTCCCGTTCATTCGTAATTTACATTTTGGTAGATTTCGCTAAAATCCCGGCATAAAATCGTATTCAACTTTTGGGTACTTCACATAGCTCGACCTTCTATTAGTGACACGAGAAAGAGAGACCGCGATTCGCGCTGTAAGAAACTTTTGGGCGCCCAAAGTCGACTACCCCTTGAAGCGCGCCGCGCAAAAGGTGGTTTATTTTGCCCCTAGGAAAAAAACAAAATTCCGCCACGCAGGAGTTGTGCGCGTTGACAAGATCTTCCCGACGGCACCAATTTGAAAACAATCGGAGAAAAACTGTAGAAGAAGATAGATAAAAACTGAAAAATCTCCAGGTTAGTATAATACGCTCGGGGATGGCGTCCAGATGTCGTCGACTCCAAATCTTGTAGCCCCATCCCTAACGTTCTTAATTACACGGCCCCGATAGTTACATGTACACTCCTTGTCTTTTTACAAGCGTTTTTCTACGGGCGCGCATTTACTGGCAGCCAGCCAGCCAGCCGACCAGCCAGCCAGCCAGCTAGCCAGCCAAAGTGAGATTAAAAGCTACTTTTTACAAAAAAAAATTTTTGCAAAAATGCGCTAAAAAGAGTCGACGTTCTAAAAGGGTACCCAGCATCATTAAAATCACGTCGTAGAAAATTCTTACAAGTTACAGAAGGACAATACAAACACAATAAACAAAGTTGCGAAATTGTGCACCATTGCAAGCAACTGATACGCCGGATGTAATTTCGCCGGTAAACTTGATTGAAAGGTATTGTGACTTGAAGGTACGTGCTAAAGACAAATGCTGCTTTGATATAATGATACTTGGCAAAATGAATCGTGGCAACAAAAGAGAAAGGATCGATTCGATTGTATGTTTTGTACGTCCGACCGTACCTTTGCATTAGGTACTTTTAATTCAACAATTACTAAAGACAAAGTTGTGTTTGGTACCCAGTTTATTTCACAAGCGATTATAGATACGGTGTGCAAAAGCCAAATGGAATAAATTCATTATTTTGGTTACTGTATATAGAAAATCCCGAAACACATCAAATTTAAATTATAACTGACATTTTTACCTTCAACTCCCTTCGTGTGACAGTTACTCACAAAATTTTAAACGGCTATGGGCATTGGTTCAGTCAATTTGCACTTTATGGTTACCAAAGGTCCGGTACAGGATTTTATTTTTTTGACTTGTTTAAATGGTAAAGAGAGAGAAAAATCCAGTTTTACCAATAGTCTAGGCGATAGAGACTGTAAAATTGGCAAACTGGACATTTTGAGGTGGAAAAGAAAAAAATGGTGGAATATGTTCAGTTAGGTGTCAAAAACAACATATTAAAAATCCCACCCTCCAGACCCTGTGCTAAAGGCTCCAGCCACCCCACCATCCCCCAAAAACCGCGTTTTCGCACTTTTTGGCTGATATCTCGCGATCTATGAGGTCTATATGAAATATTTTTAGCTGAAAATATTTCTCGGGAAATTTCATACAAGGTAGATACTCAGAAGTTAGCCTATGTGTACCTCTTAGCCTAGGAAATTCATAAAAGCCGCGAAAATCATCAATTTTCGTGGCTTTTTGCAAATATATCGCGACCTTTAGGGCTAGATGAAATATTTTTAGCTGAAAATGCTCCTCATGAAATTTTTTACAAGGTAGATACTCAGAAGTTAGCCTAAGTGTACCTCTTAGCCTAGAAAATTCATAAAAGGAGGCGAAAATCATTATTTTCCTGTTTTTTTTTGCGGTTTTTTGCAAAAATATCGCGACCGTCAGGGCTAGATGAAATATGTTTAGCTGAAAATGCTCTTCGTGCAATTTCATACGAGATAGGTAACTGGAGAGTTTCACCTTCAACTTTCATGTGTGAGGAAATATTCATTGTAAAACAAAGTATTTCTATGTACCTACTAGTACCTACCATTTATTCACGTAAAAACAGTATTTTCATATTAAAATATTCACACATTCATTTACACCTCAACGTAATCATTATCCTTATAGGTACTTATCCAAATCAATTCGTACTTTTTCGATCAGACTTCTTAATCAAAAGTTATAGACTAGAAACCAATTTGAAAAAAAATTCAAAGGGCTGTAACTTTTGAACTAGTAGCCCAATCTTGGAACTATTTGAAATT